GTCTCCATCAAATAGGGGGAGACTGAAAAACTTGTTGGATTTGATGAAGACATATAGAGTTTATAAAGTTTATTTTGTGGGTGTGTAGGTAGATAGGTTATAGGTTTAGAATTTAATCTCTTGATAATTTCAGTAGATATTGTGATAAGAGCCTATAAATGTTGCATTTCATAGAATTTATCTTACTGCATGAAAAACCAATCTTTAAGCCTTGAAAGAACAAATTGAGTTTTTCAATATGTTAAAAAGCAGTTTTAATCTGTTAAAATCACTTATAATAGGAAATGTATATATACAGCCAAAATTTTAATTGATTGAATCGTAGAATCAACAGGTTAAAATGTTCTTGATGGTTTTTCCATATTAAGGGTTTTGCAGTATTAATCTGTTGAATTGAGAAATCAATAGATTAAAATGTTCTAGCCATTTTTCATTTCAAAAGTATCTCAGATTTTTAATCTGTTGAAATCAAGTTCAATCTGTTGAAACAGAGAGATGTCATTTGCTATCTTAAAGTATCTCAGATTTTTAATCGTTTGAAATCAAGTTCAATCTGTTGAAACAGAGAGATATCATTTTTCATTCTTAAGTATCTTAGAATTTCAATCTGTTGAAATATATTTTAATCTGTTGAAACAGAGAGCTACCATTTTCCTTATAATAGTTTCAATCCATTAAAAGCTTGAATTAACCGATTGAATGAGTTTTAAATGAAATCAATCGATTGAAACATCATTTTAAATCGATTGAAACTATCAGTTTCTCTCTTTTACTCTATAAATACAGTTTTGATTTCTCTTTCAAATACATAATTTGGAAAACAATTGAAAGCAATCTTGGAGCTCTCATATTCTTGTTTTTATCTGAGCATTCATAAACATTTCATATCATAAGGCGTTTTCATCAAGATTGTTGGAAGATCTTCAAGAGAGAAAGTTCTGAGTCAGAAAAATTGCTTCTGGACTTCTATATTGAAAAATCTGCAGTCCAGGTTTATTCTTTTCATATACTTGTACGAATTCTAATTGTGTAGATTGGGTTTGAATCTGCACTAGTTACAGTAACTGGGTTTGGTTGCTGGGTGGTTTTTCAAGAGTCTATCTTGTGGTGTTGTAAGGTAGTTCTTGGGGTAGATTGGTGTATATCTACTGGTTTGTATTTTCACTTGGTATTAGTGGAACTTGGCAGATTTGTCAAGAACTGGATGTAGCTCTTGGGAAGAGTAAACCAGTATAAACTCTTGTGTTGTATTTCTGCTTTTATCTCTTTTCATTTCTGGTTTATATTCTTGCTTTGTTTAAAACCAAATCTGCCTAATAAAAGATTGGATAGAGATTAATCATTCTTCCACAAAGAAAGATTATTTTTCGAAAAAGATTTCTAAAGTTCAATTCACCCCCCTCTTGAACTCAACCATTAATTCTTACAATTGGAATCAAGAGCTGGTTCTTGTAAGTTACTCAAGAATTCGGTCCAAGAAAGGTTTAAATGGCTGAGGGAAAGATGAATTCTTACCTGACTCTGGTTATAATGGCCAAATTTGATTTTTCAAAAAACTAATGCCTTTTTACCTTTTACAGTGTTTAAGGTTAAAACACTAGTGGTGACTCCATAGAACCATTTTTGAAAACTTCATTCTTAAGATCAGTTCGGTTATCGGACATCCTAAGAATGTCGACCATCTTTACATAAAACTCAAGTCAAACAAAATCATCGTGTCGCTTCGACCCTTTTGACGATGGCGACAATACCATTTAGTGATGGACTAGTTTAATAAATAAAAACTTGAAATTATGCTTTTACCCTTCCTTTCTTTTATAACATGCTTTATTCCATGGATTTAATAGCTGTCGTATGTTTACTTTTCGCAATTGTTTGAAATAACAAATTGTACACAAACCCTTGCACACAACACTCCCTCTATACCTGGGGGCAAGAGTGAATACACATAGGGAGTGGGTGGCAGGTACGAACGACTGTGGTAATGGCCTTAGTGCCAATAGGTCATTGTCGGAAACCACCACTCAAGGTGATAACCTTCTTCTCTTGGTCTAAGAACGTTGACAAGGCCTTTTTGCCATGCATGGTTTAAAGACTGAGAGATTGAAGGGTCCCTATAGTGGGGGCACCTTGGGGACCTAGACCTTGATGAGGACAGTTAAAACCTACCTTTGCCAATGCACTTTTCTGCAGGAAAACTCTACCTCGTAATCAAATAACGTCACTCTGTTCGTGGATGAGCGAATTGTTTGTGCATTTGTTTGTTTCATTTGTTTGTTGCATAGCATAATCATACAATAGTAAAATAAAAATAAAAAACCAAATAAAAATCTCAAAAAGTTTTTCATAATAAACAACCTTATCTCGGACAGTCTACATTTTAGCTAGCCTGATTTCAGGTTCTTTGTAAGCTAAGTAGTCACGTGGATCGACGAGAAGATATAAGGGGATATAAAACCAACTTTTCATAATAAACCAACTTTATCTAGGACATTCTACATTTTAGCTAGCCTGGTTTCAGGTTCTTTGTAAACGAAGTAGCCACGTTGACCTACAAAAGAGATAAGGGGCTATAAAACTAAATTTTTACAATAAACAAACTTTATTTATAAATATTCATTTAAAAATAATAAAGCTCAATAAGATGATGTTTGACAAAGTCAATGTTAGAATCGCGCAATGGAATGATCGCGTGGTCGGACAAAAACCAAGAGGGGGTGAATTGGTTTCTTAATAAAAATTAGGTTTTCAAAATTTTCCCCAAATTTTACTGATTAAAAAATGTGTAAATGTAAATAGAGAAAGGATAGAAATCTTACACAGGAGATTTATACTGGTTCGGATCAAAAGATCCTACGTCCAGTTGCTAATCACTCAACGAGAGGATTAACACTGTCACTATAAACAAATTGTTACAAAAAGATTACAATTGAGAAGATAAAGATACGAAAACACCTCTCTTGAAATCCACAAGAGATGATGAACAGCTTTCCCTAGAGACGGCACAACACACAATCCACTAAGAACTCCACTTAGTGATTCTTATCGCTTCTAGCCCACACCAGGTTCCAAAAGCCCCCTTTCCTTGCAACAAACAGTTCTCTGGCACTCACAACACTTAACTTTTGTATGGAAAAGGTTGTTCATTCTTTCTGAGTGCCAAAGAAGAGTTTAAGTAGGGAAATTAGGGTTTAGAAATTGGGGATTTCGAAACTAGGGTTCTTGGTAATTGGATTTTCGAAAATAGGGTTGATTTGAAATTTAAAAACAAAAACAGACTGAAATAATCGATTAAATGGAGTTATAATCGATTAAAACAGAGCCAAAAACAACAGAACCCAAAACCTCTCTATTTTAATCGATTATTAGACGTTTTAATCGATTATCAGACGTAATAATCGATTATTTTGAATTTTAATCGATTAAAGCAGTGAGTTTATACAGAAAATGGTTTTCTCACTGTTTTAATCGATTATTTCCCTATATAATCGATTAAAGCCGAGCCTGGATGATATATTTGGGATTTTTGAAGCTTCTAAGTTGCAGACTATGTACCGGCTATCTCAAACTCTAAAATTACAGACTCAATCTAATTAAAACAGAGTTATTACACTACAAAACAAGTCTTCAATACTCTAAGTCTTTGAGTTCTTGCATCATCATCAAAATCATCAATCTTCATGTTCATCAAGTGCAACATCAAGTCCTTGAATGTTCAACAGTCAAGTCATACATACCCTCATCATCTTAAGAGTGGTAAAACCAAAGAGATAAAATAAATTCATGAGAAAGGAATGCATTTGCATCATTCTAATAAAATATCTCAAACATAAATTCATTCATTACTAGGATAGGTTAGATATCCTTAAGACAAAGGTGAAAGAGACCCCAAGCACATTTGTAACCATCCGCAAGGAAGGGACAAAGTGCTAAGCTGTGGTAACCTTCGTAATACTTGTCAATTTCATGACGGGGAAGAAACCATTACACCAAAGTGGGTATGGTTCCCCGCAAAGCGTAAGCTAGCCATTGTCTTAAGACATATCTATCTTATCCTAATTATTTATTTCAAAAAACGAAATAAGGGAATGGGACCCCGTTCATAGGAATAACATCAAATCCATAAACATCTATATAAGAAGTTTCCTTTTTCTTCAAAAACCAAGCAAATATATATATATATATATATATATATATATATATATATATATATATATATATATATATACAAAAAATCTCAAACACTATCATGCATCATGTTAGAAAATAAAACATGATAATGTTTAGAAAAAATAAAGACCTGCATGCATTGCCTAAACATCACACTCATAACATGCATTTTTTTTTGGGATCCAACAATAGACAGTTGGAAAAGTGGATATTCCTCGGTATCGTGTCGAGAGGTTGGAATAGTTATACGTGTTAATGTCATTGGAGGTTCGTTCTAATTTCGAGAGATCTTATGAACAGATCCTCGACCTCTTGAGAATCTGCGTTGACCACGTATTTGTCAGAGTCTTGATCCACTTTTGGAGCTACAGACTACATTGCTTTGAGTTCCCTGAATTTGACTTGGTTCCGACCTTGGAAGAATATGAGCTTATGATCTGATGGCCCAAGTCAGTTGTGGTCTACATTAGCCAGGGAGCTTATATCTCGATGAACAAGGTTGCCAACCTTATCTGATTTCCATTTCAACAGTTTGCCCTAATGGGAAAAGGGAATGTCCAAGGGTGGAATATCTCACTGCTAGAAGACCATTTATCCTCTATGGCTGATAAAGGAGATTGATCTGCATTCAACAAGACTCTAGCACTAATTGTGTTTGGGACCTTTTTGTTCCCTGTAGACCCCAAATCTTGCTCGACCTCAAAATAAAGAGCAGAAGACTTCCGTTTGAAGATGGGAAAGGCCTAAAAGGTCCCTAGAATTGATCAATAGGCCCCATATTAGAATAGGAAGGTTTTTTGTACACGAAAAATAAGAAATTTCACCTAAAGGGCCGAGACCGCTGTCTCGTTTAGTGAGACCACCGTCTCATCATTGGCTAAGGGCGAGACCGCTGTGTCGTTTGGTGAGATCGTCGTCTCGCCACTTGCCAAATGCGAGACCGCCGTCCCGTTTGGCGAAACGGCAGTCCCGACCTTGTCAGGCGAGACGGCGGTCCCAACCTGACAGGTGCAAATTGCTATAAAAGGGGGGACTTTCTCACTCTTTTCACACAATTCTACCACTTTCCCTTCTGTACTTGTTTCGAGGGGGCCTGACCTTGGTGAGGAAATTTAGAACTACCTTGAATATGCACTCTTCTGCAGGATACCCCTACTTCGTGATTAAAACATTGTCCTACTTGTTCGCAGATGAGTGAATTGTGTTTGCATTCGTTTGTTGCATTTGATTGTTGCATAGCATAATCATACAACAGATAAAAAAGAAAATCTCAAAAAATCTTTTCACAATAAACACCCTTATCTCATACAGTCTACCTCTTAGCTAGCCTAGTTTCAGGTTCTTTGTAAGCTAAGTAGCCACACAATTTGACAGTAGAGATAAGGGATGCTAAAATTATTCTTTTGTAATAAACCATTTTTATCTTGAACAGTCTGCCTTTTAGCTAGCCTGGTTTCAAGTGCTTTGTAAGCTAAGTAGCCACGCAGTCCGATAGAAGAGATAAAAGGTTATAAAAATCAAATAAAAACCAAATAAATCCAATAAATCAAAAAATGGACCTTGTTCATAAACATTAAACTCATAAACATCCATATAGATAGTTTATCTTTCTTTGAAAAAATACAAAAAACCAAACACTATCATGCATCATGTAGAAAATAAAACATGATAATGTTTAGGAAAAATAAACACTTACATGCATTCCTGCATTAACATCATATTCATATCATGCACTTTTGTTTTTTAGAAAATGGAGGGGGCTAGTAGATAGTTGAAGAAAGTGGATATTCCCTGATACCATGTGGAGAAAATAGAACGGCTCTGCACATTGATGCCACCAGAGGTCCGCTCTAACTTTGAATAATCCTATGGAAGGATTCTCGACTTACTAAAGATCTGTGTCGACCACATTTTCATCAGGATTTTGGTTCATTTTTGGAACTCTAGTCTGCATTGCTTCGAGTTTTCGCAGTTTGATATGGTGCCCGCTTTGGAGAAGTATGAGATTATGTTGAGATGGCCCAAGTCATTCGGGGCCCATATTCGCCACGAAGCGTATATTCCTGCAGCCAAGGTTGCTGCCATCATTTGATTGCCATCTCAGCAGATTGACCTGATAGCTAAAGGGAATATCTAGGGTTGGAAAGTCACAATGTTAGAAGACCATCTGACGTCTTTGGCTGAAAGGGCAGACTGGTTCGCTTTTAAAAAAACCTTGGCTCTAATCGTGTTTGGGACTATGTTGTTTCCCTTTCACCTCGACATAGTGGATCAAGCCATCATGGACACCTTCTTCGCCTGGGACGTGCATTCAAAGAGTCCATTGCCTGCACTTCTTGCCGACACCTTGCTTTTGGTCGAATTTTGTCACCAAAAAGCAAGGGAGAACACTCAGATGTTGCTCTTCACTATTATTCATGTGGGGTATCACGCATTTCTATGCCTCTAGTCACATGGGGATGTTCCGTGACCCTTTGAAGAGCTTCTCGAAAATCCCTCTCCATTGACGTCTAACCATGGAATGGAAGGTCAAGTTGGAACGATGGGATGCCAGCCGCTTATCCTGGGCATGTCCTTGGTTTCTACTTGGCCCAATACTCATCAGATGTGGAGATTATCCGAGCGTACCATTAGTAGGTCTCAGAGGTTGCATAGCCTATTCTCCAAAAGTGGCTATGAGACAACTTATGAGAACCCAAACCTCATTATCATGGGAAGAACTTGGAGGACTGTGTTTCTTCGGAGACCCATGCACTTTTGTAAACTCACTTGTTGTGCAAAGAACATGGGAGAAACTAGTCTTCATGGAAGATAGAGAGCTAGGCAAAGCTCGAGTAGTTGTCTCCAGTGACTATGAGGAGTGGAGGAGAAACAAAGGGATGTCACAACCATCCGCCCCACCTACTGCGCCTTCAGCCACTGGAGAGCTCCAAAGCCAAGTCGATGCCTTGACTCAGAGGATGGAAATCATGGGAGCCCAGATGAGGGCCCTTGAAGATAAAATGTAAGAATTTATCCTCACTATAGATGGTCTACAAAGGCAGTGCAAGAAGAAAGATCAAGAGATAGTGCGCCTCAAGGACCAATGCGTTGATTCCAATGAGCAGGTTATCCGAGCATCCATAGTTGCCAGATTAAACTCGGATAATCAACTTCAAGAAATAACTGCCAAATCAGCACACCTTGAGGCCGAATGTGCAAAACAGGCTCAGACAATCAAGGGAATACTACAAGATCTCCCAAGGACTTGGTCTGAGATATGTCAAGGATGGGAGACTACCCAGAGACTTAATAGAAACTTTACTGAGTTGCGCTGCAAAGAAAGAGACGGGTTAACTCAGTATGGCCAAGTGCTACAAGAAAGAGACCGAGCCCTTAAGAGACTCGACAATTTACAAGCCTTGGTTGTCCATCAAGAGGCAAAGATCAAAGAGGCTCAGAAGTATAGCCAAGATATGAGCCAGGCGGTCCACTAGTAGACCGAAGCACTCGCTCATCATGTATGGGAAGCCGAAGAAGAATTATATAGAAATCAGAACCCACCTGTGGGATTCTTTAGGCTTTTCTGTTTTTGTCAAAAAGTGATTCGTAGCATGGTGTATGGGGAATGTACACTTTCTATAAATAAATAAAATTTCCTTTTATTCAACAATTGTCTACTTGCATGCATTTCATTCATTTGCATACTTGATTATCCCTCCTTCACTTTTTATAAATAAGATAATAAAAAGGAAGGATTACTGATATGTCTTCCACAATCAGAAGGATGGAGAGAAAACCGTTCGTAATCAAGCTCTCCCCAACGGTTGATTCACCCCAAGAGGACAATAAGCCTCGGCTGTTGGTTATCAAAGTCAATAAGGAAGAGGGGGCAAGGACACCTTTGCGATTATTTGTACCTTGTTCTTTCCCTTATGACTCAAATAAATTTGTATCGTGGAGATACAGGGAATCTTCACCAATAAAGGAGGACATCTCCAACATAGCCGGCATTGGGGGCATGACAAGAAGCGGAAGAATATACTCCCCCAAGGAGTCACAAGAAGATGCCTCCAAGAATAAAGGAAAATATAAGCAGACAGAAGAAAAGGAATGTCGCTGCCGTCCGTTCTGACGTCCTGGGACATCTCGAACGTTAATGCGAGCGGTCGCGAAAAGATTGTTGAGACTCGCATTTTTTGTTAAAAATATGTTCATTGCTTCCGAGGCGCTTAACGCTGAACTATCCTCTAATAGAAGCAAAGTTTTCGAAAAGGGTTCTTTTGGAGTCGCCACCAATGTTTTAACCATAAACATTGGAAAAGGAGAAAAAGGCATTGATTTTAATAAAAACCAAACTTGGCCATTATAACCAGAGTCGGGTAAGGGAGTTAGTTACGTGTGGGGAAGGTATTAGCACCCCACAACGCCCCTTTCGGGTTCCCTATGACGGATTAATTCATTTAAGTAAAGATTACAAGAGATTACGCTATTACCCTATTTTATTCGTACAGTATTTAAATATGGCTATCTACATGGTTTTATCTACATTGCATACGAAAGCGATAAATAAAGCAATAAAAGGGAAGAGAATTGAGAAAAACCTCCGAAGCAAGCTTTATATTATAAGTCTTTTTTACAGAGGACGCTTTGCGGCAATCCTTCACTCTACAACTCTCCTCTCGAATAAACTCGACTCGACTAAAATTTTCTAGAAGAATCGAATGCCAGAATACAAATTCCTTAACTGATTGTTACCTATTAAAGGCAATCAGAGAGATCATTCGAAGGAGGGAGAGAAGAAGACAAGTCTTGGAGTTGTCTGGGGTGTGGAGAATGACAAAATGAGGCTCCTATTTATAGATTTCGCAGCCTGGACATCTGGGACGGCCGTCTGGGTTGGGACGGCCATCCCAACTGCACATTTTACACTGAGTCAATCTGGGACGGCCTGTTGGGTTTGGGACGGCCGTCCCAACTGCGTTTTGGGGTTTGGGACGTGCGTCCCAAAGGTGAGACGTGCGTCTCACTTGGTTTTTGGTGTTTGGGATGGCTATCCCAGTTTGGGACGGCTGTCCCAACCTGTCTTGGCCAGTTTATGCGTTCTGGGACCCCCGGGAAGCTTTCCTTTCCTTTTTTGGACATCGTTTGATGCTGATGTGTGTTCGTTGAAGCTTTATCTTCATATAGGAAGTCTTCTTGGCCTTCATTAAGATGCCGGGCGAGCTTTTTCTTCGTGTAGGAAGTCTCTTTAGTCTTTATTGTGTGGATGGGTGAACTCCGTCTTGTTGCGGGAGGTCTTTCTCGGTTTTTTCTTTGATATGAAGCCGGGTGAACTGTATGAAGTTTCCCTAGCTTTTATTTTGAGAGGCCGGGCAAAATTAGGGGTCTGCAGCTGCCCCCGCTTCACCTGCCTAGCTAATTTGTCGGCTTGATATGCCGACAAAATTAGTTGGTAGGGGAAGGAGTTAACCCTTTTGCCCGGTCATCCTTCGGATGCTACTCCTTGCTGATCCTCCGGATGATAATTATTTTGATAGGTACCAACCCCTATCTGGTTTGAGCCTCCTTTTATAAGGCTCTGGTGAGTATTTACCCTCACCAGGTATAAGTCTGTATTTTACTAGACTTTAGTGAGTACCTACCCCCACTAGGTATTAACCTTGTTCTGCAAGGTTTTGGTGAGTACCTACCCTCACCCGGTATGAGTTTGCATTTTGCTAAACTCTTGTGGGTACTTACTTCCGAGGTGCTCAACACTGAACTATCCTCTAATAGAAGTAAGGTCTTTGCGACCCATTTTTGAAATGCTTAGGTGAGTATTTTTACTCCACCTAATGCATTCTGCTAAGTTTTGATGAGTACCTACCCTCATCTAGTATAAAACCTTATTTTTAAGGTTCTGGTGGGTACCTACCCCCACCCGGTACGAATCTGCATTTTTGCTAGATTCTGATGAGTACTTACCCTCATCCGGTACAAACCTTATTTTTAAGGTTTTGGTGGGTACCTAC